GTGTTGCTCTGGAGACGAGAGCATCGTTTTCACCCCCCTTCCTCCATTCCAGTCCATCACAGTTTCCTAATGAATGGCAAGCAGTGTTTTCTGTAGGTAGACTCAGTTAATGGTGCAATTTAAAAAAATGTTCACTAAACTGAGATTCACTTCACCTGCCCTGTGGTGAGGGCTGATCTCAACCTTGAAAAAACATCCATGTTTCTCTACAGGTTAATGTCTCATCATTCCTCCTTCTACCTCCTTAGTGGCTTGCTCATTCCTTCACTATATCCAAGGTTAGCTCTTTACATATAGCTGCAGAAAACTCCAAGGTTACTAGGGAGTGATCTGTTTATGAAAAGGGAGTAATAGCTCTGTCCCCCAAGCCCAGTTCATGTCACCAGTGCCTTGGGACAATAACCTGAGCCAGGTCCATGGTTGCCAAGGTGGCCATAAACTCCCAAGCCATTTCTAATTCCATGTCTAAGGTAGGCAGATTGAACTCCCCCAAGATCATAAGCCTGAGGAACTCCACTGCCAACCAGACCATGGCATCCAGCAACTCAGGTAGGGAAGCAGCTACATAGCAGGGAAGCTGGTACAACAGTAGCAATCCCAACTGATCCCTAGAGCCCAATTTCATGAACAGCATCCCACATCTAGTTATCTGCGGAGCAGAGCCCCTGAAACCACAAGAGCTTTTCAGATGACTAAGGCCACGCCTCTGCCCCTGCCCTGTGAGTGTGGCTGTTGCCACACCAAAAATCCTTCATGCTTACCACCCTCACTCAGAAAACCAAAAGCTAATTGAAATGCATATTCTTTTGACACACTGTCTCTGCCAGTATGAAATGGCAGAGATGTTCAAACATTAACATAGCAGCCCTCTTCCTATATATTTTAAAACATTAAAGCATCCTGCTCCTGGGTATTAACACAATGTGCTCTGTGCAAGTGTTTATTTTTTCAGGTATAGACATTGTCAGAGCTAAAGCTCCTGTAAGAAATCAGAAGAACATGACATAAACATTTGGAATAGATAAGGACAAAAACTAACGATAGCCCAAGCTATATATTTTCTCCAAAGGAACACAGTATAGGTAGTCCCCAGTTTAAGAATGAGTTCCGTTCCCAAGGTCTGTCCTTAAGTCAAATTTGTATGTAAGC